ATGAAATGTGCTTTCTCCTCCATAAGGCCTCATATTCACCACTCAAAATGTATCAGGTTTTCTTTGATAAATTACTCAAAGTAATCCCTGAAACAGCTAGACTGCCTGGGTGATATGGTTTTAGAAGTCTTCATGCCTTGCCTGCCTATCAAATATGCACTTTTGGACTACAAAAGGGGGATCATTTTTAGTGACAAGATTCAGAACTGGGAAAGTAACAAGGGAAAGAGATTAATATCCATGAAATCAAATAATTTCATTTCAAATAGTCAACTTAGAACATTACATCTCACTGGTTTACACAGTAGTCAAGATAAAACAGAATCTTCTGTATGTGAGGCATAGACAAACAGAATTGCCAAGCATATGAAGAAGGGGAGTTTCAACTTTCAGAAAACTTTTTCTTCTTCAAAACCACTTATAACATGGAGACAGATGCACATTTAGAAACTTGTAAAATGTATGAATAGACAGTAACATATAAATCTATATGGAATTTTTTTTATTATTTCAGGAGACAATGTGCTGCTACATAGTTAAAGATGTTAATTTCTCTCCTTTTTAATGGTAAATGTTGATTGCATTTCTCACAAGAACTGGCAACTTGGAAAAGCATTTTCCATGCTTCTTATAAATGCACCCCAAGCCTGCAGTTCTTGAAGCTTTAAGGAGGTTTCTATTAAAGCAGCCAGCTGCCTCTTTGTGTGCACTGGCTGTTTAAAGCTGCAGCACTGAAGTGGAAGCCTCAGTTTTGACATTCTGTAGGCCCTTACCAAAGAAGTTCCATTCAGATATGGAAGTGCTCACCTCCAAACCAGACAGCTTCTGGGGCTAGCCAGGGAGAAGAAAAAATGACTGGGACATGGCAGAAGATGGAAAAAGATGAGAAGGAGGAGAAAAGTTTCAAACAATCCTCCTCCAAGGTGGACGCATTTAAAAGAAAACACCAGGAGGCAATTTTACCCATTTAAACCAGTTGCTACCTCCTAAAATTTTTTTTCTTTGTTTCTCTATTTCTATCATAATAGGAATACATAGATAACAAATAAATTAAGATCTATCAAATGAATACTATCTCACCTCTATTTTAATAACTGTGTTCTTTCAGCTCAATGTATGGTGGTTTCTCTGTCAAGTCCTGGCATATAGAAATAAATAAATAACATTTTACATACGGTGTGTGTTTGTTAGACGAATGAGTTAAATCAGAGTTCGAGTGCATAGATTGTTCCCATTACTGTTACTCAAGTGAAGACTTTGGGGGCCTTGGGTGAAGGTGCTGGGGGCTACTGATACAGGCCAGTTTCATTCTTTCTAAGGTATGACAATGTGGGGATAATTATGGGTCTTTGGGGTTAAGCTCAGATTAGCTGAGTTGTTTCCTCTCCATGCGAGCACCGAAGCAGTAGGGAGTTATCACTTCTTCAGGCTAGTCCAGGTCAGTATACTGACTGAGTAGAGAGTCGTTCCTCTGGACCAGAGGGAAGGGGGAGGACTGGCACTCATGCTAGAATCTCCTCTCAGGTGCCCAGAGCTAGTTCTTGAGGAAGGGGCCCAGGGGACCCCGCAGTCCGCCCCCAGGCAGCAAGGCCCGCACAAACTGTCTGCTCACCCATTCTCCTAGAGAGTGATCTCGGGGAGCTGTGCTGGAGAGGGAGACATCGAGACACCTTGTCAGTTCAAAGCATTTTAGGGTTGTTTGAAATCCTCTCCACGTCAACGTAAGCAGCCTCTGTATTTGAACAGCTGCTTTGAACAGCGAAAGGGAATGAGCTGAATCAAAACCTGAAGGTGTCTTTCTCCGAGACACCTTCAACGTGCTTTTATGTGGGTGGAAAAAGGCAGGTACACATGCGGACTCTGCCCTGGCCAGGTCAGACTCAGAGAAAGGCGCAGGCGATTTTGGGGGGGGGGAGGAGAAGCCCCCATCTGTAGCTAAAACCTCTGATAGCCCAGGTTTCCGGAACCCCGGAGAGATGCCGCGCTGAGAGGCAGACAGAAAGCAGAGGCTACTCAGAACCCGGCGTTCGCGCCAGCCGGGCCTCAGGCAACTAGGCGGGGAGGCAAGGGTGGCTGGGGGCTGGAGGGGGGTGGGGGAGGTGGTACCCAGAGCCACTGTGCGCGCCTCCCCGCGATTGGCCCGACTCCGGGGGTGGGGTGGGATGAGGATGCTGAGGCCCAGGGGTAGACCATTGCTTTGTGCACTCCCAAGGATTTATTGGGTGTGCTAATCTCGTAGAACTACCAGAGCTTACCCGGTTGGGAACATTTCGGCTCCGCGCCTGCAAGTAAAATGAGGCGGGGTGGGGGTGGAGTGGAGACCCGAGACGTCAACGTGGATTGGATCTTGGAACAGTAATCGCCAGTGAAGTCCCATTACAGACAGGAAGTTTTGATGTACACGTGCAGCCTATTCGTGCCCACCCCACCCACACATACCAGTGCCCTAAGCCCAGAGTCGGGGCGGGGGGAGGTAGATAGAGAGGAGGGAGACTTTTAAACTGACTCCAAGCTCGGCTGCCTCGGTTCCCTCAGATGCGTCTGGAAACCGTTTTCTTCGCTCGAGTGTATCACCCCACGAGCTGCAAAGGGACTAGTCCCTAGAGAAATGTGAAATCAAATCCAGAGAAAAGCAGACACCTGCCCCGGAAGGGGGAGGGATGAGGAGCTGCTGAGTATCCGGACGCGGCCCTTCCGGCGGCTGGATTCTTCCATCTGTGGGAGCGCTAAATCTCTCAGCCGGAGGCGGGGAAGAAGGGGGAGAGGCAACGAGTGAGAGGGGCGCCGTGGGCCAGGACTGGACGCGGCTGGCAAGCGGCCTGTGTGCCCCCAAAGCCCCAGGGGCGCCGCGCGCCCAGCGTTTGGGACGCGAGGCTGCTGCTGGGAAGAGGCGGTCCTCCCCGCCGCCCAGCCTTTTCGCTCCTAGTTTAGAAGCTGCCAGGGCCAGCTGCCCAGTCGGCGCTCCGAGGCTCTGATTTTTTTCCTTTTTTCGAGCTGGTCAAAGTTATCGGATTCTTAGCAGCCCCCAGGCGCAAGGCCAGAGTGGTTCCGCGTTTGTGCTGCGGCGGTGCACCACACTGTGTGTGTCCTCGCCTTGCCGCGCGGGTGCGCGAGTGGGGGATGCAGGTCCATCCCGCTGGCAGCCTGTGGGCTCGACCCTCCCCTAGCCATTTCGCTCTCTCCCCCACACACGCTCATAAACACAGGGCACGTGGAAATTCACAAAGTGCCTTGCCCAGTCGGGTGCTCAATGTGGTGATTTATAAACAGATCAGCCACTCCCCGAAGAGCTCCGCTCCTCGTTAGTCATGATGAATTCTCTGGCCCGCTCCACTTTGGTGTCTAGATTAAGATGCTCAGAAGCACCGAAGTGCTCCTCTTGAGCGTTGATTTGGTTTCCCTTACAAACCCACGACTGCTAGCAGCGCCAGCGCTAAAGCTACAACGCTGGGGGCCAAGGGTGAAAGGGACGAACGCGATCAAGTTCCTTGGGATCTTTTTGCCCTTCACGGCAGCAACCTGTGATTTGCTTCAAAGTATAGGAACCGCCGTAAGCTTGGCCCTGCGTAGTAGTCCCAATGCTTCAGCGTGGTCTACGCCCGGGCCTCTTCTAGCCGACTCGCGGGCTACGAACTGCTGCAGGAACCTGCCCCGGGACGGCTAGGAAACTGACAGCGCGTCTCGCTATCGCGAAGTGGGGCGGCGCCGCTAGTGCACCGTCCATCAGCCTCGCTGTGGAGTTCATGGCTGAAGACTAAGTAGGGAGCTTCGCCAGAGAGCGCCTGAGAGTTGAGTTAGACCAAGCCCACGCACTGGCGTCCGCAGAAGTTACTGATTAGGAAAGCTCCCCTAGCACCAGCCCATCTTCCATCACGCACTCTTTCTACCCATCGAAGCAGCTAACGGAAAAGTTGCATCGAAGAGCGCCAGGATCTCAGGGAAGCGCTCACGCAGCCCCGCCGGTTTGGTTTCTCCGGGCGGCCCTTGATGCCTCCACCGTACCCGGAGGCTGAGCACCGTTTGCCAGCGCTCCAGTAGCCTTCCACAAGGCAAAGGTCTGCGCGCTGCCTCCCAGCTTTCTAAACTAAAAACTGTGCGCGCGCCCTAGTGTGGGAATCTGACATAGACTTTTAGAGTTTTGTTTTGCTTTCAGTCCGGCCCGCTGCGCTGTCAAAGCAGGCAATTCCGCGCCTTAACAGAAATCTCTACAAGCTGACGAGCGGGATGAGCCTGCCGCTCGTGGGGGCCTCTCGCGGAGGGGCTGGGAGACAACTGGGCCTGGAACCTAATTGGAAGAGAGTGGAGGGGAAGAAGACTTTTATTGAGGGCGAAAGTGTCCGCACACCCTGAAGCAAGAAGCTCATGTGCACTGAAATTCTAACCATGTGGGGAAAGAAGACTTCCACGGTGGACAAGTCTTGCTTCTGGTTCTAGGTTTAAGAGACGCTGACGTGTGTGTGTCCCAAGGTGAATAAAAATCGGACGCCTCCTGGCTCGGTGCAAATCAGCCTTTCTCTTCCTCTCTCCTTCTTTACCACCCCCAACCCCCGCTCCGCCCCAGCCCTACAGGGAAAAGAGGGTGGACCGACAACCCCCACCCACCCACCAAAGTCTTCCAAGAGGCTGTGATCGATAGTGCGCGGGGGCTGGCCTCCACCCCCAGCTCCCCCCCCCCCCCGGTTTGTCTGCTGGGAAGACAGATGGGGGGCGGGGCCCATTGGAGAGGGGCGGTGGAGGCGGGGGGGTGGGAGAGAAGAGGAGGTGAGATCTAAGAGAATCTGAATCGGTGGCGAGGGGGCCACGGAGGAGGGCTTGGAAGACTCCGTGCCCGGGGGGGGGGGAGGAGGGGCAGCTTTGCGCCAATCAGTGGCGCCGGCCTGGGAGGTTGCTAGTGGTATCCACGTAAATCAAAGGGCGCGGAGCCAATGGGAGGGGGCGGAGGGGGCGGGGCCCAGGCGCGTGCCGCTGCAAGCCGGCTGAGCCAAGAGAGCGGGAGAGAGCTGGAGAGAACAGGGAGAGGGGGGAGCGCAGTGCTAGTCTGAGAGTGAGCGAAGCAAGAAGGAGGGAGAGAGAGGAGGAGAAAGAGAGCGAGGGCGGGCGAGAGGCAGCGGCGGCGGCAGCAGCAGTAATAGCAGGCGCAGCAACAGAAGGCGTCGGAGCGGGCGTCGGAGCTGCCCGCTGGGAGAGAGAGAGCGAGCGAGCGAGGAGAGGAGCCCGAGGCGAAAAAGTAACTGTCAAATGCGCGGCTCCTTTAACCAGAGCGCTCAGTCCGGCTCCGAGAGTCATGGCGACCGCAGCGTCTAACCACTATAGCCTGCTCACCTCCAGCGCCTCCATCGTGCATGCCGAGCCGCCCGGCGGCATGCAGCAGGGCGCCGGGGGCTACCGCGAGGCGCAGAGCCTGGTGCAGGGCGACTACGGCGCGCTGCAGAGCAACGGGCACCCGCTCAGCCACGCTCACCAGTGGATCACCGCGCTGTCCCACGGCGGCGGCGGCGGGGGCGGCGGCGGTGGCGGCGGGGGCGGGGGAGGCGGCGGGGGCGGTGGCGACGGCTCCCCCTGGTCCACCAGCCCCTTGGGCCAGCCGGACATCAAGCCTTCCGTGGTGGTACAGCAGGGCGGCCGCGGCGACGAGCTGCACGGGCCAGGCGCCCTGCAGCAGCAGCACCAGCAGCAGCAACAGCAGCAGCAACAGCAGCAGCAGCAACAACAACAGCAGCAGCAGCAACAGCAGCGGCCACCGCATCTCGTGCACCACGCCGCGAACCACCACCCGGGGCCCGGGGCATGGCGGAGCGCGGCAGCTGCAGCGCACCTCCCGCCCTCCATGGGAGCGTCCAACGGCGGCTTGCTCTATTCACAGCCCAGCTTCACGGTGAACGGTATGCTGGGTGCCGGCGGGCAGCCAGCGGGGCTGCACCACCACGGCCTGCGGGACGCGCACGAGGAGCCGCACCACGCAGACCACCACCCGCACCCGCACTCCCACCCACACCAGCAGCCCCCACCACCCCCGCAGGGCCCGCCGGGCCACCCCGGCGCGCACCATGACCCGCACTCAGACGAGGACACGCCGACCTCGGATGACCTGGAGCAGTTCGCCAAGCAGTTCAAGCAGCGGCGGATCAAACTAGGATTTACCCAAGCGGACGTGGGACTGGCTCTGGGCACCCTGTACGGCAACGTATTCTCGCAGACCACCATCTGCAGGTTTGAGGCCCTGCAGCTGAGCTTCAAGAACATGTGCAAGCTGAAGCCTTTGTTGAACAAGTGGTTGGAGGAGGCGGACTCGTCCTCTGGCAGCCCCACCAGCATAGACAAGATCGCAGCGCAAGGGCGCAAGAGGAAAAAGCGGACCTCCATCGAGGTGAGCGTCAAGGGGGCTCTGGAGAGCCATTTCCTCAAATGCCCCAAGCCCTCGGCCCAGGAGATCACCTCCCTCGCGGACAGCTTACAGCTGGAGAAGGAGGTGGTGAGAGTTTGGTTTTGTAACAGGAGACAGAAAGAGAAAAGGATGACCCCTCCCGGAGGGACTCTGCCGGGCGCCGAGGATGTGTACGGGGGGAGTAGGGACACGCCACCACACCACGGGGTGCAGACGCCCGTCCAGTGAACTCGAGCGGGGGAGGGGCAGAGCGTGGGGCTCCCCCTCCCCTTCCGTCTACCGCCCTTTCCCGGCCCCCTTGTTCCCTTTCTAACTTCTGATTGTTCTTTTATTTTTAATTATTATTTCCCCATTCCTTAAAAAGAAAAAATAAGAAACAACCAAGGCACTGGACTATCCTTTAAACGGTAGCAGGTGTAATGATGTGTTTTGACCTTTACAGGCTAGTACCCAGGCAATGGAGTGGAGTGTCTCATAGAGTGGGGAGAGAGAGAGAGAGAGAGAGAGAGAGAGAGAGAGAGAGAGAGAGAGATGAGGTAAATACCTGGCAAAACTAAATATATTACCAAAAAATAAAAAAATCCACCAAGCCGTGATAAACACAAAACACAGCTTCCTAATGCTAGGAGTTGGCACATGCTGCTGTGTTTATTTAATGTGGATCCCCATCAGGAAAGAGGAAAAAATACACATGTTCTTTGATGTAGGCAAAATCTAACCACATAAATTTGCACTGCAAGAAAATTGAAGTTTACATGAACAAATTCATGAACACATTTTTCTTTCTCCCACTGTTAATTTTGAAATTCCCGGGGTTTGTGTTTTGTTTTATTCAGAGGAGAGAGTTGGCCACTCTCCATTTCTAACGTTCATGTGTAGCCACTTGTTCTTACTGTTTGTGAACTTTGGTTACCTTCAGGTCCCCTCTCCTCCCTCACATTGGTATAACTTTTATTTGCTCCTTTTACCAAAGCAAAAACGATTGGCTTCATACAAAATAAATAATTCTGTTTTCAGGAAATGTGCATGCTCTACCCTCTTTAACAAGCCAAGAATCCAGTTTGGAAAACAAAAATGAGAGTCAAGCATTAGTTTTTGTTACCAGCCACAAAGTAAACTTCATTTTCAGGCAGTGTTTCTGGGGGAGGTTGCAGAGGGGAGAAAAAGAAAAATCTATATTGAATGACTGATCGCTTCATTTTTCCAAGCGGGCCCATTGTGAAAGAGCTCAGAGGATATGTGGAGGTTAAATATATTTTCAGAGTTGTCCAACAGAAAGAAAGTGGCACTTTGAAGAGAACTAGGGAAATATATGTATCTTCAGACACCCCCTGTATAGTTCTCTGCCTTCCGTTTTAATAACTTCATTTAGGAGGAATTATTTGTGCTGATAGCAGCAGTTAAACTTTGTTCCTCTAATAGCTGTTAAAAAAAAAAAAAAAAAAAACATAAAGAAAATAATCTGGGAACTTAATGGTGTATGCTTAGACTGTGTTTCTTAGCACACAAATACCCACATGCATACAGAGAATATTTCCACTCTAGACTGGTTTTGTTTTCACTAGCTCATTTGTATATCAAATTATATTTAAGGTCCCACACCTTCTCCTGTAATTTATTACAGAAAATACCAGTTTAACTTGGACAGTTCTCCCCCCACCTTTTACTAAAGAAGCCAAATAAAGTGGGAAAAAATGCTATTTTCAAGCCTTCATTTTCTCCCTTTGTTAATAATTTTAAGTGCATTTTTTACCTTATCTTGATGGAAAACGGTTAACTCCCCAAACAAAAGAATCTACTGGGAAGTGTAGGTGAAAAAAACCTGTAACTATTGAAAATAAATGCCATTAAACTGTGATCAGTTAAAATATTTAAAAAGAATCAGCACAAAAGGGCGCTAAAAGGGAAAACACTTTTTATTAATCTTAAAATACCGGGGCTTTTTTTGTGTTACGTATTAGGTAAATTTTTATTTTAAAATATTAAATCTCAATACCATAAAATTATGGTTCAGCATCAGATTAGCATTGCACTCCGTAGTTAAGGTTTTAGGAAATATGCTTTATATTGTCTTTTCAAACACCAGTGATTGTTTCATTTTCAATGTTTTTGCAAGATAAATGATGACTTATAATGGGCATATTTATTTGCCTGTATTTCATTTCCCCCAATGAATGTCACAAGGAGATGGGCACGGAGCTGCTTGGGGTGCATCACACTGCTTGTTCCTAAGGTGTGGGGACTGGCCTTTAGTGAAGCAATCCAGAGCAGGGCAAATAGCCAAGGGTAAAGGGAGGAAATGAATTTTCAGATTCTTATTACCAAGTGGGTAAGGTTGGAAGCTGGAGTTCAGGGGATGTGTCTATAGCTCCTGGAACTCTCAGAGGTTTACTAAGATGAAAGTTACCACTGAACCTTACCACTATGTATATATGTTTAATATCTGTCTTTTGAAATGCAGAAATAGTTTAAATGTTTCTTTGTCTATTTTTCTTTTTTTTAATGCTACCCAGGGAAATATTTTCATATCATTTTTAAGTGGCCTGCCTCAATGTATATTTATTTCTTTTAAAGCAAAAAGGTTCTGGAAACTGTTTTTCTGTAGCTTTAAATGAGTAGGTGAGCAAAATCTATATGGGATGTATTTTTTTTTTTTTTTTTTTGTTCAGTCTCTTTAAAAATACTTTGTTTTGGTACATTTGGTTGTGCTTGTGGGGAAAATAAAAACGCAGAGATCCTTATATATTTATGTTAAAGTAATATTTTATTATCTACATAAAACAGAAATGCACAATACCTTCATAGTTTGTTCTAATTATTGAAATATCCTTATTTTATTTTAAAAATAGTCCCAAGTTTTAAGGGGGGGAAAATCCTTAGACCTTATACTGACTGAGTTGAGTTGTATGTAAAACACTTCCCTTCCTTTATATTTCATAAAGTTTTGGAATAAATTTTATGCATATATTGCCAGGTTTCACGTTGATAACTTTCAGAGGCATTTTTTTTATTAAGTGAGACTACTCTTCTGATTCATTTTTCTTTGCAAAAAATGATCAATCCCAAACCGTTCAGCTACTGTGCCTATAGCATTAAATTGAAATGATTATTGGGTTTGAGCTTCAATTTGTTTGTTATTTCATGGTCTGACAAAGAGATGTTTGTCCCCTTTAAATATATGCAGATATTCCTGCATCTTTTTTCCAGGTTAGCCTTCCGTTATCCGATTTTACTTCTTTGGAGAATATCCATGGAACTAGGTGGACTTTAATCTTTACCCACATGACCTCACATAATTTGGGATCTACAGAAAAACAAGGCTTAGTGAAGGACATTATTCTTTTTAGTAGTTTACAAATATCTTTCAAAAAACAACTCTGATAATATGCAATATGTGTGTTTACGAAGTGATAGAGGTAGGTCCTGTATATTATTCCTGTTAGGTTTACAGAAAAAGACGGTTTTGCAATGGTTTATACAATATTGTCTATGTCCAAGCAAACAGCCTCTAAAACAAGAAAAAGAACGTATGGAGCACTCAAGACTGTAGTGCTAATAACAGATTGTTTTCGATAGTTGTAGATGAACATATAAATCAATTTTAAGGTTAGTGAGAAATCCAAGAAGTGTTGGGTTATTTTACAAGTTTGCTGATGTACTTCAAGTCCTCCTTGGAACATTGGTTTCAGTATAAATGTCCATTTTGAAAGGTAGTTTCTGGGTTTATTACATCTGATCATCTTTTCTAACTCCTAGTCAATATTACACAGGTCCCAAACAGATTCAGCCAAATGATCTTATCAATAGTCTGAACGCAAAGTGACAGAAAGAAGAAGTGTTTTGTGACTGCAGACATGCTGATGGGTAAAATGTTTAAGCTGGGTATAGATTTGAGTTCTGGGTCAATATCTTCCTCCATTGTAGGCAGAAAACAAGCAGCATCTGCCCTCTGCAGGGCATTTTAGTGGACCTTGAGAAGGCGTTTTTTGTTCCTAGCCACAGGGGCTACTGACTGGAAACCATCACGTGTTAAAGGGACTCGCCATGGTTTTGACCCATGCTTGCCTTTCAGATTCTAAAGCTATCCAGGCAGTTTTGATGCCATTTGGGGGAATGTATTACATGCTAAGGTGAAAAACTCCATCACTGCCACTGGGAGACATTTGTGGGGCAGTCACCCCTAAAATGTTAGCTAGACACAATGACAAACCCTTTCTTTCCCCTGAAGACCATAATGCAAAAGACAGCCATCCTGAAACAGCTCCAGTGTTTCCTCAAAATATGTCACTTTTTAAATTTATGGTGTAAGATGAAGGAGAAAGGATCACATGGGAGAGTGTTGTGAAGGTCAGATGGAGGGAATGGCCACAAAAAATATTATGCTTGGCACTTCTAAACAGGCTCGGTTCCCGCAAAGTTACCTCCTTTCTATTTCAGATGCGGCTACAAAAGCACCCCTCTCCCTGCCCTCCTGCTCCTACTAATGGGAGCCACACCCGGGCTGGCAAATTTTTCCAGTGACATTTCATAAAGGCACTCATCTTTCTACTTCTTTCTCCAAAAACAACTAATGGGGAAAGATGGCATTGAAGTGGACTGTTTCATGCACATGTAGGTCTATGTGTTGCCTTCGTTTTCCTTTCTGTGGAAGCAGCTCAGGAGTGCTGGGCTGCTAAGTGAGAGACATTATCTTTTTATCACTGGCCTCTCTGTGATTTGTCTTTGTTGATTTTTCAATCAGTTTATAGAACTCTGTTCTAGATTCTATTGAATTCCTAGACAAGTTAAAGAATGAGGCAGAGAATGGAGCTTTTACTGAAAAAGTCGGAAGAATGGTGAAGTGAGGGTCAAAGGTAAAAGTGTTTCTTTGGGTCTGCTTGTATATTTCAGTGAGGCAAAAGGGAGTGTCCATTTAAAATAAAAGGAAAAAGACGCATCATAAAATAATAGGAAAGAATCTTAACAATAAGATGTACAGTTAAATTTTATACAAACATTCTATTCAGTAAAGTTTACTTTTTCAATGATACATCATCTATTAACAGGGGGCAGTTGGTGGTGGGGGAGGACCAGGGCTCCTGGTTCCTATTCCCAACACTTGATTCAGGATGGGAAATAATTCAATGTGTCAGGGACTTGCCACTCAGCTAGCAAAACATGGAATAAACTTGCCCACCTTTGCAGAACTTGGGCCAGAGTTATTTCAGTACCCTCCTATCTAGATGTGACTCCAGGAGTGCCAGAAAACAGCTTTTTTATTTCTTTAAGGCGTTGCTTAGTTATGGAGATAAAGAAACAATCAGAATATTCCACATTGTTCTTGTATTTGATGGGAAGCTAGGAAATTTGTTGTTATTTTATTTTATTTTTGTTTTTTAAGAAAAAGTTAATTAAGTTTATCATGTAGTACTTTCCCTTACCTTAATAACAACTCTGCTTGGCTTCGCTGTTAGAGGTTTTAGAAACAATATCAAACCCCATCAAAACAACCCTGGCCTCTCTTATTGTTCCTATAATTCTGGTTGTTGGTAACATTAAGATGTGTTTCTTTAAAAAAAAAAAAAATGTCTGAAATGTTATTTAATACACCAGTAAAAGTGCATCGATATCTTAAAGTTTATTCCTTCCACGTCTTTCTGAGTTTTTATAGCTCTTTGTCTGGGATTTGGAGGGTGGGGGGACTTCCATTTGCGGTTTCTGCTTTAAGAGTCTGGGCTCTGGAGTGGTCTGTAGCTGGCGGCAAACAGCTCTCCGCTCTCAGAATGGGGAGCTGTCATCTAGAAAAAAGAAGGAAATAAATGTCCCACAAAGATTCACTTGCCACTGATTTTAGAAAGACAGGGGGCATCAGGACCCCATCTGAGCAACATGGAGGGGATTTTGATTGTTATAAATTGTGCACGATGAACTCTCAGTGTGCAGAACCACAGCGATAGAAACCTCGCTGTGGAGTAAATTTGAATCTGCATCCTTTTTTATTTGGGACATATATTTTTCCTCCTACCAATGTTTCCTCTGGGTTTGTTGTTTCAAAAGAAAAATTGCCACATGGCGAGTTTGGCAGGAGAGTAAGAAAAAGAAAAAGTTTCTTGCGGGTTTGTAATACATATTGGCCATTGCAAATCACTGGGCTTTAAGGTTAAGGAAAATCCTTGTAGACAGTTCTTTCCCTCCTCTTACTAAGAAATTTCATTCCTTAATCTCAATTTTTATGTTCCACATTTTGAAGACAATGATTTGACATTAACTTTTTGTTTGTTTGCTCCCATAACCAAACATACCTTCAAAGTTGTTAGTGCCTCTGGCCCAGGTGGGTGAATGAGCTGCCGGCTGGCAAGAGGCACTCAAACCTCGCCGGGGGCGCCCCACCTTGGGGAAGCCCTGGCCGCTGAGAGGAAGGCCCACTGTCGTGCTGACCCGCACAGGGAGGGGCGAGAGGTGAGACGAGCCCGGCGTTCCCCGGACTCCAGCCCCAGGCCTTGGCTCTGGGACCCTTAACAACCCCTGAGAGTTTGCCAAGAACTGGGATTCTCTGACGCGGAACTTTTGGGGAAGGAGGCCAGCCCCAACGTCTTGGGCCATTCGGTCACTTTTCTTCTCTCCAGGGAGACCCTGGAGAGGGTGGAAGGCGTGAATGACTGGTGCTTTCGCCCAACCGCGGCAGAGGGTGGAGGTGGTGATTTGGAGGAGGGTAGATACCATGGGTATGGCCGCCGCCCCTGGGGAAGTTGGTTATAGTCGTGGTGAGTTGGCGGGGCCTTGCTGGGTGTGCTCCTGGCCAGAGCAGAGATGCAAGGTGACGCAAGGGTGACTGAGGGTCGAGAGTCCAGGGACGACGGAATCGCCTGGCTTTCTCTCTGCGTGGCTTTTCCGTTTGACTCTGGGCCCAGCTGGGCCCAGGACATTACTTTCTGCATGAGAGAGAGGCAACGGTGGGAGAAGGTGCCCCAGGAGAAGAGGGTAGAGGAGGCAACTGCAGGAAAACCGGGGGAGAAAAGGATCAGCTGCCGGTGGAGTAATTTGGCCTTTTTATGTTTGTTTGTTTGTTTGTTTGTTTGTTTGTTTTTGTTTGTTTGTTTGTTTTGGGGGGAGTGGCTGGGGAGGGCAAAGGAACGGAGTAGGAACGCCAGAGCTGGCAAGCCAAGTTCTGAAGTGTGTTCCCTTCAGCTCACACCCATCAAACCTCTCTGGCTGCTCTTGACCTCGGCTCCCTGCCTCCAGAGGACAGGAACCTACTCTCCAAGGGCTGAAGCACGGAGGACAACGAACCCAGAAACCCTCGGCAACCGATCACTCCCTGCTGGGCCTGTAGTCGCTCTTTTGTCTACACTGGAGGAAAGTCAGTTCCCCAGCAAAGGGAATCTGGGAGTCCCTCTGGACACCCTATCATCCCAACTTAGAGCTGAGGGCAGCAAGCAGGGAGGGGCCGCTTCCCAGTACCCGAGGCCTGGGGTTCTCTGCAGCCTGGGTATTAGCAGCACCGACCGATGCCTCTCCTCCCCCCGCCCCCCACACACCCCTTTTCCTTCCAAGGCCCGGGGAGGAGTTGCCTGGCGGTAGGAAATCAATTCTTAGAACCTTCACTGGGAGTTCTAAGGCGGTCTTTTGCCTCCGGAGGAGGTGAGGCCCGGCTGGGATCGAGGGCTCCTGAGTCTTAGAGTGTTCGGCTGGGCCACCGAGGCAGGAAGCTGGATGAGGGGGATGGGCAGGCGGCCAGGGGCAGAAGCAGGGGTTCTGCTGGGGCGCAGTCTGTGCTGGCGCCGGGCCCGGCCTCCGCCCGGCACACCAGGCCTCCT